AAAAAAAAAAATCACGACTGCCTACAATCCTTTTAAATTTATCGAATCTATTAAAGGTTTTTTTAAAACTAAACAAAACCATTATCATTATCATAATCATCATTCTCATCCTCATCATCATCATCACCATCACCGCCATCACCATCGTCATTGTAATTATGCTGTCATCATCTCAACCGCAACAACAATTCCAAATGTCAAACAAAACAATAAAGCAACAACGTAATGAATAAATAAATAAATAAGTAAAAAAAAAAGACACAAGAGAAGAGAAGATCACATTGATAGTCGAGAAAAAGCATCAAAAATATAATAAAAATAAAATTAATAAATAAATATAGCTAAATAGAAATGTAGAATAAAAAAAGGGAAACAGAAAGATTTCGTGTTTTGCCTTTTATTGAAATACCACAGACGAAATAAATCACCATAAATTAAATTATAAAAATTTCAAGATTTTATATGAAAGAGGAAAAAATACTGAAATGCTAAAGTGAAACAAAAATAGGCGAAAGAATAGAGAAAACTAGCAAAAAAAAAATTTTGTTTTTTTTTTTTGATCACTATAGTATAAAAATTAAACTTAAACAATAAGTTTTGAAAAACGGCTATAAATGTATACATCTATCGTTTGATTCAATAAAAATTTCATGTTTATTACTGTATATCATATGTCAAATATCAAGTGTTCAACAACTTTTTCAGCAGTCAAAAATATATGTGTTTTTAACAACCAGTTTCCAGTCTCAAAATATGTTTAAGAAACTACTTAACAACTGTAAAAGCATATGTATCAGAATCACTGCTCCTAGCTTATGAAAAGAAAAAAAGTGAAGAAAAATAGTCCCGTTAATGAAGCCGGAGGAATTCAGCCAAGTTACTGGGCAATGAAGGAAGGAAGAGGAGGTGAAGGAAAAGAAGGTGCAGGAAAGAAAGCGACCTCGAGCTTCCCAAATTTTTTGTTTCGCAATTTTTGTACAGCTATTTAACACCTCATCCTAAACTAGCTTAAACAGAAAAAACCTTATCGAAGTGGCTACCGTTAACAAATGTCAGACGAGACTGCACAAAAAAATTGAGTTGCAACTAATTAACAGTAATCGTTTTGTAGAAAATGATAGAATGTACATTGCTTTTAACTATTATCAGGTAAAAAAAAAAAAGAAAAAAACAGTAACTTGCATCAACACTGACAGTAGAATAGACAATTTCATTTTTGGAAAAGCTACTAGCATTAAGTAGTATTATTAGCAGTTTTTTTTGGAATAGCTGAAACCAGAATAAAAGAAATAAGTATTAAAAAATATCAATAAGTAATTCTCAGGTTAAAAAAATTTGTTACTTGATCAGTATCTTTTTGATATTTTTAAACACCTCATAATAAGAACCATATCCATAAATAATAGGAAGTGCTTTTTGGAAGCTGTTCCCATATGCAGTGCTTTCAAATAAAAGCTGAGTCAAAAGATGTGAAGAAACTTGTCTCACCCAGTGGACAACTCCTCTGTCGCAAGGAGGAGGAACAGCGACAGCCTAATCTGCACAATGTGATGTTTCTTTTTTCTGTTTTAATGTTTTTGGTTCTTAGAACAACAACAATAAAATGAAAACAAGGAAATTTCTCTTTTTTTTTTCTTCCAATTTCACTATCCTCAAATATCTCGTCTTATATCTGCCAAACGATACATACAAACATAAAATGCGCATACACACAGACATACACCTTTGTCGATGAAGCAAAAAAAAAAAAGGCATAAAACCAGGAAGCTGCAGAAATAAGTTATTTTTTCAACTACTAGTGGCCTGAAATCCGAACAAGAGACATGACTGTTTCTCATCGATCCAACCATCCATCCGTTCATCCATCCATCTACCCATCTGTCCATCTAGGCATCTATTCATTTATCCATCTCTCTGTCTATCCAACTAACCATATATTTCAGTGTCCAACCAGAATACAAAATTGGATTAACCTCAAAGTGGCAGCCATTGTGAAAAGTGCCAAAACAAACAGAAAAATATTGCGCTGGTAAAACGAAGCGCATAATTTTGATTAAATGTTAAAAGTGAGATGAAAAAAGGAAAAAAATTTTTTTTCCTATTCTTTTCTTCTCTTGGAAGGGGACAAACGGGGGAAGAGACAAATGGAAGAAAAAAAAATGAGGTGAAAAAAACTTTTATAATAAAAAGTTAGGGCATTTTTTCTTCTCTCCTTACATTATTCTTCAAACCTAATCAAAAGCAGATACGGAGAACATTTTCAGATATTTATCCTCTTTTTGTTTCTTTCTTCTTCTGCTTTTATCATTTAAATTGTTTCGCTTTTTTTCAGGCAGTTTTTTTTTTACACAGAATAACAAAATATCTGTGTACCACAACATGTAACTTTTTACTTCTTTTTGTTTTCCTCTTAAAGTTTAACTTCCAAAACTTTAACAATTATTGAAATTGAAAATAGGGGCAAAGAGAAGGGAGAGAGAAAAATGAAAAAAAAGTTGTCAAGTTTTGTGTCAAAATTTTTTGGTTTTTTTTTTCTGATTATAGTAAAGTATTAGAGTTTTAAGCTCTACTCTAATAGGATCAGACCTCATTTTTCCATATTTATGTCCCTATCAAATGCGTAAATTGTCTCTTTTTTTTGACAAATCAAAATACAAAATAACATTTCGCTTCAATGTTTAGCCAAAAATTCTAAAAAAGTTTTTTGACCTAATAAACGACAAAAATAGAAGAATAAAAAAGGAAAAAGAAAAAGAGGAAAACAGATTCTGGAAAAAGTTTGCTAGGAAAAATCAAGCCTTGATAAATTAATGCAAATATGTATATAGCTTGTAAAGAACAAAAAATGCGAAAGTACAGTTATACGAAAGAAAAAGATAAGTGTAGTCTGAGGTGACAGACAGTACGGTTCTTTCCTACTTCATAG